TTGTGTATTAGTAACTAGGGCCTTAAGCTAATTAAAACATGGCGTTCAGTGTGTATGCTACTAGACTGTTATATTAGCTCTCTAATTTATTTCTTTTTATTCCTTATTTTCTAAAATATAGTAATAAATATGTACAGAAATGCTTTTGTAGTTTTTTTTTCTTTTTTCTTTTTTTTTAAGTATTGTCAGTTATACTTGGCTTTCCTTTTCTTGCTGTTATAAAAATGAACCTAATAACTTAAGTTATGTGGTCTTTTTATGTCGTTAACTTAATGCCAAGACAAACAGAATTAAAAAGATTAAGTTATAAATAGATAGGGCAGCAATTGTCACTGTCAAGGAGGAGAGGGCAGCACTGAATAATTAAAACTTTTTTAGCATTTTCCAGGGGAAAAACCAGGACAGCGGAGTCTTATATACAGCTAAACTTACCTTACTTATGGAAGGTGTTCCATTAAAGACAGTTCCCTAGTAATTACTGAACTTGCATTTGTTCATGCTTTATTATATGTTCCACCTGTAATGGTAAAAATTTGATTTGTTTTTTTTTCTATAAAGTTAGCCTCAACTCTTTTAACAATGTTTTGTATTTCCAAAGCAGATTTTTTTTTTCAAAATTTTCTATATAGCTGTGTATTTTATATTATATTTTTCAGATAATACATAAAAGTTAAATTTTTATTAGTAATTTACTCATTATTAGCAGTATTACAAGTTGCTTACTGCTAGTTTATACAAATATCTTTTTTCAATGATATATTATACTTTTCTTATTGTTTTCCCAGGAAGGTGTTCCATTAAAGACATTCAATCAAATTTTTTATATTCGTTAAAACAAACTGTCTATGCATTTGTAAGGGTAAATTATTTATAAAAATAATTTACCTTTTTAGCAAACATTTAACAGTTCCCTAGTAATTACTGAACTTGCATTTGTTCATGCTTTATTATATGTTCCACCTGTAATGGTAAAAATTTGATTTGTTTTTTTTTCTATAAAGTTAGCCTCAACTCTTTTAACAATGTTTTGTATTTCCAAAGCAGATTTTTTTTTTCAAAATTTTCTATATAGCTGTGAAAAACAAACATGAGAGAATGAATGAACATAAGGTAAGCTTCACTTTATGAATTTTCAAAAAATAATGTCATAGCAGGTCTTGTTATGAGATTTTGTTAAATTGAAAAACATTAAAAATGAAACAATATCAGTTGTATAATTTGAAATACCGCATTATAATTTAACATTTATTAAAATTACATTAAAAATCATTTAAAGTCATTATAAATATTTATAAATACTTTTTGATTAAACAATATCTTTATAAAAAAAAATTATCACTTGAACTTAAATATTCTGTTTTAAAAAAAAAGGTTACTAATTTTAACAAACTTATTTAAACCTATACATTTTATTTCTGAAAAATTTAACTCAACTTTTTTCAGCAAATTGTTATCGCAATAATCTAGACATTCCTACATTTATGAATGGTAAAGTACTCAATGAGTTATCTACACTTTTAGGATTGACTCTTACTTATGTTTACCAATCATTTTTGAAAACAATATATCAAATCCATTGCAAAATTAGCATCTGCTAAGGTTGCATCTCTTTATCATACTCAAACCACACTCTTACTTTGGATTCTATTCTTTATCTCCATAAATCTTTAATCTGTCCTTGTATGGAATATTGTTGCCATATCTAAAGCGGATCTTCACTTGATGCTCTTTTTCTTTTAGACAAGGTGCAAAAACGCATTGTAAATATAGTGGGACCTGCTCTTGCAGCCATCTTTCAACCATTGTCACCATCGTAATCTTGCTTCTTCTTTACTCTTCTATAATTACTATAATGGGCGCTGCTCTAAAAAGCTAGCACCTCTTGTGCCATCTACTAAATACATTTTTGTGTTATTCCTCACTCAAGTCTCATCCTTTTGCAGTAACGGTTTTTAGGTGCCTTAAAAATTCTTTTACCTAGTTTTTTTTCCTCAAACATCAATTCTTTGGAATCTGCTCCCTTTATCATGTTTTCCTGATTCATATAATTTGCAATTTTTTAAGTCTTCTGTTAATTGTTATCTCACTTCCTAATCTTATATTTTCTTTTTTTGAAATTTCTGACTTCAATTGGTTTCTAAGTGGTTGCTTTTAGCTTGGTTGAAAGTAAATGAGTTAAAAATAAATAAAATAAAACATTTATGACACAACATTACCATCTTCATTTTCTCATAATTGAGATGTTTTCTTGTATAAATGTTTATTCTAAGATCAATCTAAAAATTTAATGATAATGCTTTTGTTAATAAGCAAATTTAAAACTAAAAAAAATTATCTTTCTATAAAATTATTACAAAAAGTTTACTAAAAAAAATCTCTAACTTAATTTTGCCAGCAGGATTGATTTTGACAGGATTATCTAACAATGATTTAATATTCAGATATAAACATTTAGTATTTTTGTATAAGGACTCATGTAATGAGATAAAAAAAATTTATTGATTTGAAACTACAAATATTGAAAATACAAATATATAAATAATAATATATAAATGATAAATATATAAATAAAAAATAAATAAATTGTTAAAAATAAATTATTTAATTAATAAAAAACTAAAACTAAAAATAAACAAAATAGTATAACAATAAAAAAACAAAATAGTATAACAAAATTTAAATCGTGTAACTAAAATCAAATTTGAAAAAATTTTTCAAATTTTTTATTATAAAAAAAAAAAACTAAATGTAATAAAATAAATTATATAATAAAAAAAAAGGTAAATTTTTGTAAAACAGGTTTTGTAAAACAAAGGTTTAAAATTAAAAAAAAGACTAAATGTAACAAAATAAATTTAAATTTATTTTAATAACACTTCTTAAGAAGATCATAATACAACATGAGCTAAACAATATCAACTTTGTTGTGTTAAACATCTGTAGTGTCTCTTTAATTATTTTTTTGTGTGTACCCAGACAGCAAAATATGACTTGTTTTATATTGATCTAAACGACCTTTGCTCAGAATTATTTAAACTATAAAATTTTTTCTTGAACGTGTCTCATGATTTAGTGAAAAACTTCCTGACACCCTAAACAAATGATTAAATTATGGTCAGAAATTCTAATCACTATTTTAAAAGCTGATTCCCCTGATTTAAAAGTTTATATATATATATATATATATATATATATATTTATATATATATATATATATATATATATATATATATATATATATATATATATATATATATATATATATATATATATAATTATTTGTATATTTATTTTGGTATAAATTGAAGTTTTATTAATTTGATCATTCATTTCTGATGAGTAAATATATATATATATATATATATATATATATATATATATATATATATATATATATATATATATATAAATATATATATATATATATATATATATATATATATATATATATATATATATATATATATATATATATATATATATATATATATATATGATTTAAAAGTTTATATATATATATATATATATATATATATATTATATATATATATATATATATATATATATATATATATATATATATATATATATATATTATAAACTTAGTTAAAAGTAAATTAAAGTTCACTAAAATTACAAACTACAAATTTTATAATAAATTAAAAGGTAATAAATTAAATAGTGAAAGTATTCTTAAAAAAAAAATTATTTTAATTTGCATTTTTAAATCAAAAATTTTATGATTTATATATAAAAAAAAAAACAATCTTGTAACTTCTTTTAATAAGTTTATATTTGTTAGTTTTTATTATTATTTTAATTCAAATTTAATTTAATATTTTTATTTTTATATCTATTTTATGACTTTAAATTAATCACAAGCTTTACATTTTATTTTCACAAGACAACAAACATTACTTTTAAAAGTTTTTTTCTAGCATTTTATCAGTAGTATTTATCTTGATTATGTTTCTCTAGTATTCTATCTTTAGTATTTTTCTAGACTATGCTTATTTGTTTATTTATTTATATATTAGATATTTTATAAATAATTATTTTTTATTTTAATGGTCGTAGTCCAAGTGATCTGTGTTTAAAAAAAAAAACATTTGTTACTCTTTTATAACTTGAAAGATACTTAAAATAACTCAAATTTTATACTTCGGAATCTGATGACTAAAATTTCATATTTTTGAACATAAAAACTCAATTTTCATATTTCAGAACTTGATAACTCAAATCTTATAATCCAAAACTTGATGACTCAAATTTCATAATTCATTATATAAATTCTTATTTTAGAGCCATTTGAACTACTTTAAACCTGCCTCTAATTTTTGAACTGTGTCAAGCAAATATTATTCTTGATAAATCATAAAAATAACAAGCACATATTCACATTCATATTATATTAAACTGTAATATAATATGAATATGAATAAATATTTGGTCTTTTTTAGCTGTCAAATTTAATATTTTTTAAATGTCAAATTTAATATTTTATTATAATAATAGTAACTTAAAAAAAAGAAGAAATGAGATATAGTATATTATATGAATAATATGATTTATACAACTTTTCAACTGATTTAACAAACATTTAATCATATTTTTATATTATGAATTCATATTTTCATATTCATATTGATAATTTATTCATTCATATTACGAATTAATTTATCTTCATTTTATTACATTTAGATTACATTTAATGAATATAAACATATATGAATGTATTCATACTCAGTAATTAAAAAAATAATTATAGAGAGTGGGCTTGATGATTAGACCAATCTTGCTTTGACCATTTATTTTTTTATAATAAAAAATGAAACTTTTATATAGTACAAGTGGCTTGATAGTCGAACCCACTTGCGATATATATCATTGTTTTTATTTTGGAAAAGTGAGTAACGCAAAACTGTTCCATAAGTTTTATCAAGTTTGAAAATAAATACAAACACATGATAAAGATTTAAACAAAAAAATTAGAAATATACCTGAAACACTCCGAATATTAAATATTGAATATATTTATTTCACTTTTGGTAACAATTACTCCATTCTGTTTAAACTTTGAAGGTAGTTATTTTTAACACATAACTTGATATTAAAGAACTTTACTAACCACTGCTAGAAAAAGAAACTAAGACATTCTCAAATTTGACATTGAGCCAATGTCAAATTGTCACATGGCATAAGCAAATGTTTACATTTTGCAATGTTGACATTTTGAGTGCGTGCGGCGTCGATTTAAATTTTTGATCAAATCAAATCAAATCAAATCAAATATATTCTGAATAAAGTTGCTACATCAAGGATATTTACAAATATTAATTTGTACTAATATAAAGTAAACACCTGTCAAACTAAATAAAAATAAGATGGAGATCGAAGCTAAAATAAGTATTGATCATAGTGATAAAAAAATAGTAGTAGCGGTTATAAAAAGAATATACTATAATAATAATAACAGCAATTATAATAGCAATAATAACAACTAAAATAATAACAACAACAATAATAACAATTACAATAATATTCATTATGATAAAAATATTGTATTAATAACAACAACAGTGATAAGAGAATACTATAGAAACATATCAGTTTATAATAATAAATTTAATAAAGATTTAAGATAAAGGTATTATTGTTAAATATAAAAAATTTAATAAAGGTATAAGATTTATAAAGAGTATTTTTCTAAGAAATGGTTAAAGAGAGTAGTTTTAAATTTTGAGAATGATTTAAGAGATTTTAATTGGGAAGGAAGATTGTTCAAGGTTTGTATGCTTTTATGTTGTATAGATTAATAGCCGTAAAATACAGTTCGGTATTTAGGTAAAGATAATTTAAAGTTGAGAGCAGATCGTAAAATATATTTACAGTTTTCCCTATAACTAAAAAAGTTGATAAATGTAAGAGGTAAATTATTATGATTTTGGTTCCAAACAAATAGGCAATTTGATAGCTGAATAAGGTCACACAATATAAAGACTTTAGATAAAAAATAGAGTATGCTACAGTTCGAATTAGTATGTTGAAAGTAAATTATTTTTAGAAGTTTGTTTTGGAGATAAGTTAGTCTTAAAAAAGCAAGCTGCTTAGATTGTCCCCAAACTTGGCAAGCATATCTGAGATAAGAGTGAAAAATAGCATGATATAAATTAGGCAAAGCTTCATGGTTAACAAAATGACGAAGTTTAGCTAAAATACCATTCGATCTGCTTAATTTCAATGCTAAGTCTTAAAGATGCGATGCAAAAGATAAATTAGAGTCTATTTTGATTCCAAGATATTTAATAGACATAACTGGATTTATTTTTTGGCCATTTAATCTGAAATTTAATTGCTTAGTTATTTTTGTTTGAGCAGATTTAAATATAAAAATTTCCGTTTTTTTAGAGTTAAGAGATAATTTATTGGAGCGGAGCCATTGAACAACATTTGCTAGATCGTGGTTCATATTTTTGTTAAGTTTTTTATTAATTAGGAGTAAGTTGGTATCATCTGCAAAGTGATAAGCAGTAGAAAACTTAAGAGAAACATTTAAATCATTGATAAAAATAAGAAAAAGTAATGGACCTAAAACCGAGCCTTGCGAAACACCTTTAAGAGGATTTAGCTAGTCCTGAGTTGATACCATTAATTAAAACAAATTGTGTTCTATTACAAAGATAAGAGGAAAACCAGAGAAAAGGAATACCTCTTATACCGTAGTGTTTCAATTTTTCTAAGAGGATTGTGTGCTTAACTGTATCAAATGCTTTTCTTATGTCAATAAACACTCCACACGCAAAGTGTTTATTATCGATAGCTTGTCTAATTTTCTCTGTTATTTCTATTAATGAATGAGTTGTTGAGTGTTTGCTGCGAAAACCATACTGGTGTTTGTAAATAAATTTATGTTTTTCCAAAAAATGCTCGAGTCTTTGGAACATTGCTTTTTCAAATAGTTTACTTAAGTTAGAAAGAAGTGAAATAGGTCGATAATTGGAGTAGTCTAGATAAGAGCCCATTTTGTGTATAGGAATTACTTTGGCTACCTTAAAAGCTTCTGGAAAAATACCATTTTTGAAAGTATTATTCATCATAGTACAAAGAGGTTTGGATATTATGTGAGATACCAGCTTTAGTAAAAATGTTGGCAGACTATTGGGACTAAGGCTTTTATTATTTTTAAGAGTATCTTTTATGAGATTCGCCACCTCATTTTCAGTCACGGGCTCAATGAAAAAAGAATTAATACAAGGTATTTTAAGAAAGTTGCCAAAAGCACATTTAGAGGGAACAGTATTTTTAAGTAGTTTGTCTTGAATAGTCGTAAAATAATTATGAAATATATTAGCAACAGTGGTATGATCTGAGATGACATTTTCATTGATTTTGAGGTTAAAAGACTTAGTAGAAGTAAATGGTTTGATTTCCTTAATTCCTTTCCAGGTATTCTTTACATTATTAATGTTGTTATTGAAAAAAGATGCATAATACAATTTTTTAGAATACCTTAATAACTTGCTAATTTTATTTCTGTATAACTTAAATTTAGTAAATAATATATTTTTTTATTTTTTGTTAGTTCTTTGTAAGGAGCATATCGGTCTAATATATTTTTGAATGTTTAAAGAAAAAAATTTATAGATTCGTTTATGTTATCATCGTCTTTTATGAGAAGCTCCCAGTTAATATTGGAAATTTCTTGGATAAAAGAATCAGAATCAAATTTTTGAAATCTTCTTTTAAACATTTTTACTTTTTATTTAATGGGTGGGTTATTAGAAATACAGACGAATTGTGCTATGTGGTCAGAGAATAAAATTGTAAGATTACCAGAGACTATATCAGTAGGAAATGAATTCATGAAGATGTTATCAATAAGGGTTTTAGTTTTTGCAGTTACACGTGTTGGAAAAATTTTGGTTGGAAATAAGGAATGAGAGCCCAAAGATTCAAAATAACTAGAAATGACTTGTGATTCTCTATAATTCAATAAATCTATGTTGTAATCGCCCATTTGTACAATATTTTTTGCTTCATGACTTAACTTTTCGAGGAGAGGATTAAAATCGATAGATAAAAATTCAGTGCTGTTTAAAGAGAGATGCCGATATATACATCCAAAAATGGTATTACTTTCAAGTGGATATATAACTTCAACAAATATAGACTGTAGAAATTTGGAGGCATAAATTTGGAGATGACTACGAACTATGTAATTAAGATTTGAATTTAGGTAAAGAAGTGCACCACCTTTTTTTGATTCTGTTGGACAGTGCTCAATGTTATATCCTTGTATGGTAATGTCAGTTATACTAGAATCATTTGCATATAAGTTAGACTCAGTAATTCCTATTACCATGGGAGGAGCATTAATGGTACCAACAAAGCTGGAGAGATCACTTATGTGAAATGGAGGAGAAGAAATATTTAGATGAAGATAAATTTCTGTACCAGGATTAATAGATTTATTTAGTTCATTAACGTCAAAGTATTTGCATTTAGTTGTTGGATTAAAAACATTGTTCATGGTTTTAAATAAGTTTTTGAGATAATCAGGGGGTTCATGAAATTTTATTTTATAAGAAGGATTCTTGTAGGAAAGAGTTGATTTTAGTTCCAGATTGGAGAGTCCGCCAAATGGCATATTGTTTGATATGCAGTTAGGGCAAAACCATTCAAAAGAGTCATTGGAAAGCAGATTGTAAGCATGTTTGTCAACTGGAATACATTTTGCATGAATCCAAAAGGAGCAACAATCGCATTGGATGACTCTGTGATTATCTTTTATTTTTTTATTGCAAAACTTTTAATGGTGACAAATTTTCATGATATAGATGGTAAAGCCGTTTATAGAACAGAAAATATAGAAAATTAAAAGAGAAAATAATTAAACAATAAACAGTAAATGGATAAATAGCAAGAGTAATCAGTAGTAGTACGTAGTTAATTATTATCCAAAATATAAATAAAGAGTATAGGTTTATAATATTAATTAATAACTAAGATAAAATATTAAACAATAGATAAAATTAAAATAATATAAATCCATAATAAACAAATGTATAAGAATATATAATAATGATAAAGTTATAATAATGATCAAAAAATATAATAAAATTATATATAGTAAAATAATTTAATATATAATAAAATATAATACAAAACTTCCTAAATAGATAATCTAATGATAAATAAATAGTTAATATGTGAAAATACAACTTAGATAGATAACGGGAAAACCTTATTAACTAGAACTAATGAATATAATTAATGTTAAATAAATAATTAAAAAATATGTGAAAAAGCAAAATAATAATAATAATAATAACTAGCTGGGGTGACCCGTAAAATACGGGTCTTTACCGAACCGACCATTTTTATACTTATCTATAGCTATCCGGACGTAAACTAAGGGTCTTAGTAAATCTATTCCACACCGACCTTTTCTATACTTATTCCTTACCTCAATATTTTTTTAAAACCGTTTAAAAATGTACATATAAAAAACTATACTTACTTTTTGATATGACAAAAACATTTCTGTTGAAATGTTCTTTTAAAAACTTCAAACGATTTTAATATTATGCCGATTATAAAAATTTTAATAAGAAAAAACGTAAAAAAGACTACGAACTTAGAAAAATGCTAAAACATTCAACACGTGACGCCGTTAAAGTACGCCTTAGTTAACGTTCATAACATATACACATCTAATTAGATTTTATTTAAATTCAGTTGTTGCAAACTTGGTTTTGAATTTTTAATTACACTTCTTATGCGTCATAAATAATCTTAAATTCTAAATAGAAAATACGTTTATGGGCTAATTGGTAGACGCGCAACACTTAGACAGATATAGTCATCTTACCCCGGGAGTTCATACTCCAGTGACCTTTTTTTTTCATCCCAACTTACAACAAAAGTAATTAAAAATAAATGTTATTATTGAAACAGTTTTAAACATTTCTTCCTATTTATCTTTGAACTTAACTTTATTCACTGCAAACATACTTTTGGTGTTTGTAAGCGTTATTTTACGTTTAGTATTTGTAGGAATTATTTGCACGCACGTATTTTAAACAATTATTTTTACTGTTTCATCTAAAAATCTTATTTAATTTAGTTTAATAA